TGTTTCATCCCTGTCTGTCATAAATAATTGCATATGCAGTAATTATGGTCATAGATATGTGCGCCTGGCACAAAGAATCAATCAATAAATAGATAAATGAAGATTGGCATCCAAATAATTTACCACTGTGAAACCGGCCTCAGTGGTTTGATAACAAGAATTGTCATAACGACAAATAGCAAAAAAATAAGAAAAGAAAATGTTAAAAGGATAAAAACAAGCAACGGGGTCTCTTACAATATATATAATACAAATATGTTGGTGAAGGTTAGAATATATGTATCATAAAATATCATTAATATCATGTAATGACAATAAGTCAATTTTAAATAGTCATTTCCCTTGCGCGCCACATTTTATAATATACCTAGGAACCAAAAAAAGCGGAAACTTGTCTAGAACTATATAAGGCCACAGCAAGTAAATTTTATGGATGACATCCTCCGCAGATTCCAAATGTAATGCGAGAGGGCGAAACAAACAAGGCGGGCCGAAAAAAACAAGGTTCCTACAATTTAAAATTTTGACTCAATCATTGTACAAATGGTTTTTATTCAGTGAGAACATCACATATACACAGCCAGCATCACATATCACTGCATCAAAGTAAGAAACAAAACATCAAATGAGAGCCTTGTCTTGTCTCCTCTCTTCATAGTTATCTGCCATCCACCTTCCGGCATGGCAACAGACATCTTTGCCCATTTTCGGCATGTTGACCATTGTATTGTAAGAAGGCAACAAAATTTCTTGTTTTTTTTTCCAAAATCAGGCGAAAATTAATGCGCGCTAATGTCATCCATAAAAATTACTTGCTGTGGCCTAAGTTATCCTTCACCCTTCTACCATTCGAGAATTGCACGACATGAATGAAAAAACACGCGCGCGCAGCGACCGGACATTCGGGGCCGGTCCCCAGTCGGTACCGGGTTCGTGCTGGGAAAAGATTTTCTATCATCCAACAGGTTATACCATAAAAACCATCGCACGTTCGGGGCTCGTCCAAAAATACCAACTCTTCCCCCCTCAACTGTTAAAAGATCTTTCCAACAGGCAACTGTTGATATAACTATATGAGACTTTGAACCTTATTTAGTACAGTATTTTGAAGCCACCGTCTCAGTTTTTTCTGTCAGTCGTTTTCTATGAATGAGTTTCGCCGATTTTACGATCTCGTATATGCATGCGAACCCCGCCCGTTTACATTTGCGTCGTTTGCAAGGAACAAACAAAAAAAGTCTGGCCAGCAAATCATCCCATTTCCACGTTGAGGTGTAGAATGTGATGCATTTTAGCTGTTGGGAGAGGAGCGTTGGGGTAAGTAGAATGTGTGAGACTGACCTGGTGGTGATGAGCGGGAGATGATCACGGCTTGTGCGCGCTCTGAGTCTCCCTCTCCCCGCCGCGTCACACGCACCACTCCGACAGCTAGCCCCGACACAAGAGCCGCGCGTGTAACCTCACCTCACCTCACACAAATCCTTCTCCTCACATCTCCACAGCCAGGTAAAGACGGGTATAAAGACGCCTGCTCCTTTGGAGGAATTTTCCTTGGGTCTCGCCCGAGGTGTCAGCGGTATATCCAGGTGGGTCGGCAGGTATTCCGCCCGACAAAGACCAACCAAAGCGCGCGCGAACCGAACGTATGCGTGAGCGGTCTGACACTTGCTTCCCGGCTTCTGACAGAGCTGGAGGGTATGTAGGGGGAGTTCGGGAACACCGGTTCGGCTGAGATCACGGAGGCTAATGGTGAGGTGGGTTGAGTGAAAAGATGATGCGTCAGAGGAAAGAAAACGTTACAAACGTTTCGAAAATGATATATTCAAGGTTAAAATTTGACAATTGAATTTGATTTATCGTCACTTCCGGTGCTTTATGGTAGCTGGATGGTTCCGAGGCGATACCATTTTTGCGGAAGGGGAGTTCAAACTTTATACTAGTATTTTGTTTACCGTATTTCTGCCACACTCATCATATTATATTGACCATTTTCAATAAAGCAACATATTTACTGTGCAGAGTGACAAGGAAATATCAAGCAAACATTCATTTAGCTCACACCCCGTGACAATTAAAAATGGTACATTCTTCGCAAAAGTGAATGAAGCACATTACCAAGAACTTTCAATATACCGGAAATGACGAAAAGAACACGCTGTGACGTAAGGAGGAAAGGATGTGACGTATTGGTTAGGGGTAATCCATGAACAAGTAGAGATTCATACATTTAGTAAAGTAAGCTTGTGCGTAAGAAAATAAATGGTATATTTATACTAATTATAGTCTATAATTCATTCTACTTGATATATGTAGCAGAGGCTATCCCGTCCGAATATTTTTCAAAGAAGGATGTGAAAATGAAGTTGGAGACTTTGGCAGATTTTACAATATATATATAAGTTTAAGCATCAGTTGAAAGAAAATTGACTGAAACGCGAGCACGTGCAAATGCATAGAAGTCATGTGAAGGAGGTCATGTAAAGGAGGTCATGTAACAAAATTCACCATTCAAAACAGTGAGTGCTACGTGATGTAGACTTTTTCCCTCGATCTAGGACCGACTGACGTCAACCATGTCGATTACAACCTGACCTAAGGGCCATGCGAAACACAGACACACGGACACACACACACACACACACACACACACAAAGACACACACACAAACACACACAAATACAGCCACACACACACACGCGCGCGCGCACACACACACACACACACACAAATAAACCAACACACGCACACACACAAAAATACTCACACACACACACACACACACACAAATAAACCAACACACGCACACACAAAAATACTCACACACACACACACACACACACATGTACACACACACACACACAC